CATATGGGGCTGCAGAAAAAGAAATGATAATTTAGATGCAGGTGGAGATTCTTCTCCTTCCTCACTTCAGGATACCTCTCCCTCCTTCCTCATTTATTTGCTCTTCTCTCTTGCTATCACTTTTAATTGATACTGTTTTTTTTATCCTATCTGTTGGTCTGGGGTGCTTTGAGTTCTTTCTCTGCTTCAGCCATTATTATAAGACTACACTTCAATCTCCTGTGAAGCTTATGGGAACAAACCTCATGGATAATAGTAAAGGAACCAACTGCTGTGGTTTTGGTTGCATGTGCTCGAGCATATGTTTAGCTACATGAAGATTTTTCAGGCCTGAGTTTCTAAGTCAATTGGGCAACAGACTGATGTATGTGTCCAGCTAACCTGTTTGGTATCTTCATCCTTCTCATGTTTTGAATTGTGCTGACTGTCGATACTCTGAGTAATGGTAAAGATGACTATCCTAATCCAAAGTAGACTTTTTTTTGGTGCACATTGGGATACAAAACACAACATATATTGGTCTTTAAAAGATACAACATTAGGTTTGGAGTGGTGCTCCAGAGCTGCTGTATGCAAACATATATTGAAGTACAAAAACTTACCAGTTGTGTCTGAGTATTTGCTTTTCATCTGTGTTTTGACTGCCCTTACTTGTGCATTACACCCTGACCTGAAGTTTCTCAGGAGTTCTTTAAACTTTTTTTTTTTAACAGAAAGCAGTCCCTTCCCTGAAACAGTGTCTTACTGAAAGTGCAGAAGTTTGGTTTTGCTGTATGTAAGAGCAGGGTTCTTTGCTTTTACTCGCTTCCTCCTGTAACTAGTTCCTGCAAAAGCAATCTTTGCACTGCAAAACCCCTCTCCCCAGCCTTGGTCTTTACTGATTTCCTAGGACTCAGAAATATTGCCAAATAGTGGTAGGAGAAACTTTCAATCTTCACAGTCTTGCAGGGAGTGTGATGTGTGGGGTCAAGGTAGCAGTGGGGGTGAGGCATAATCCAGGTAGACCAGGTCTTTTCCAGAATACCCACAGCTTTGTAAGAACATCTGTTATAAGGAAGAGTTACTTCACAAGTTTCGTGACTAAGGGGAAGCATTCACTGAAACTTACTTGTAATTTATTTTGTAAAAAGTTAAATAGATACAGTGGCAACTAGAACACTGAGGTTTTTCAACTGTCAGTAGAAAGACACAGTGCACTGTAGGCTGTTCAGTATTATTCAGATGCAATATATGGCATGTTTTTTAATATTTTAAAGAGTCCAGTAACAAGGAAAGCCTTTTGAACCATAATCTGATAGTGCTTTTATAGAATGCTATGTTTTTTCCCTTTTATTTCTTTATTCTTTACTAATTATTTTTTTTCTTTGGTTTTGTTTTTTTTGTTTTTATTTTAAGTTCCAAGTGTCATGACTGACATCAGTTGGTGAATATTTCAAGAGGGTAGAGGCACATTTAATTATATCTGACTGTCACTGAATCATGTCCCTCAAACACTTAGCTCATTCTTTTTTAAGTAACCAATTATAATTAAACCATTGGTAGCAGGAGTTTGTAATTTGTGTGGAATTAAGATAGGAATGTAATAATTCTTGGAACTAGAAAGTTTAGCAGATTTATTTATTTTTTTTAATTTTCTAACCGTAAATCTTAAAATGCCCTGAGTTTTGATACAGTGTATCTACAATATTTTGCTTTAGGAATCTATGTTGGAATACTTTCTCTTTTAAAAATTTTTGAATAGCTACTTAAACACATTTAAAATACTTGAATTTTTGAATGTAATTGTTTTTGATTGTTGAAGTAGATATTATAGATGTTTCCTTTCTCTATTAGGCAGTCCAATGAAAAGAAACTTTGGCTCTAACAGATTTCAAGCTTGGGGAGCAAAACCATCTTGTACTTACACTGAGGCTTGAAAAAGCCTAGTGAGACATGTCATCTTTAGATAAGCCTGGTTTTCTCCATGGGTATGGAAGGGCAGGTGAGGACACAGCTCTTTGAGAGAGGTGAGCTTTTTGTTCCTCCTGCACAGCGGGCAATATAAGTGGCAGTACCAAAGATTGTTGAAGAAGGGGAGACTGAGCCTAGAATGAGTGAGACGGTGAGCTGGTGCCGGGCTGGCCGCCTGCATGTTGTAGTCCTGACTGAAGCTGTCTATTGACCAAATACTTTGTCACCAATGTTCATGTATAGGCAAAAGTATCATCGGTGCTTTCTCTTTTCTGGCCATGGGGTAGATTCCCCATCTTGCCTGGCAGCTTTGCTTGGTGAGGCACTTGCAGAGTGCAGGGGAACAGACCGTGAGAGTGTGACGGTGATCTCCTCCATCCAAGATACAGTTGCTGGCTAAAGTGAAAGAGAGAATTTACATACCAAACCTTGTCACAAACTTGATTTTTTTTTTTTTAAGGATCGGCATAGCTACTGTAATAGTTCAGAGTGCGACCTTTTTAGTTATGAAGCTTAGACTTAGTGTACAAATGGTGTGTTGTTGGGTTTTTTAAATTTATCTTAGGAGCAGAGCGGGGTAGACTAACTGGTTATAGGCAGTACTTAGGTGACTGCAAAACTAGTATATTCAGAAAGGAGTGAAAGCTTTATTACAGAAAGATTACACACATTTTTTTTAACCTTAGTAAAAATGAGGTTAATTTCTTAATTCAGGGATTTCTTTTATATGCTGCTATGTGCTAAAAATACTATTATTATAAAAAGGTTAGTAAATACAAATTTCCCAATACATATTTCCAAGCGCATTTTACAATATTGAACATGTAGCAAATGACAAAGCTTTAAGGCAGTAAAATTTCCTTGGTAATAATACCATGTATGGTATACATGTAAAATCTGTTGATATAAAGGAGTTATTTTCTAAGAGAATACTGCCTCTCAAGATACTTTTCTTAAACTTTATGTGGTTTGTTTCACCTTTTGATCCTATGAAGTTTACCAAATTGAAAGAAAATTCAATTAAACACTTGGCCTTGGCTATTCAAAATATTGACCTTTAAATGGGAAGGTGTCAACACTGATCTGAAAACCTTGAATGGAGAGGAGCAGTTCTTCCTGCATTTGTTTCTAAGGAATTATTTAAAGTGAAGTATTAAATTTTCATTATCTTGATGCTGATACCAAACAGCAGAGCTAGAGCTCTTTCTACTAAGCTGTTCTGGCTAATCCTACATTGTTCAGTGTCACTACATCTTAATACAGTTTTAGTGGATAAACTCAGTAGTTTTTTTCTCAGCTGAAAATGAACAAATGTAAGATTGTGTGAATGATTGTCTTAATTCTTTGTTTTCTCATTTTCAAAACTTTCATACCTTCCACAACAAATTTTCTCTCTTCTCATTTGGGGTGGTGGTGTCATTATCTATTAGTTGGGCATCTTAATTCCACAACTTTGTGTGAGTACATCTGTGAAGAAGGTGTTGAAAAAGAGGCAGAGTCCAAAGATGCAGTGATAAAAGGGATAGGGAATAAAGATCTGGGGATGGTGATGTGTGTTGCTAAGAAATTAGGCTTTTTCGCTCCCTCCAGTAAGCCTACCTCCACCCCATAGAGCTACTGTTTACAGTCTGGATCCCCAGCTTGTATACAGGTTTTTTTGTGCTAGGCAACAGTTCTTGCCCAATAATGCCTTCCTGGAGAAGGAAGCCTTTAACAACACTGCTAATACACTGATACAAACTGTTTTGGTATTTAGTTAAGGCTCCATGACAGAGACTTGTGATTTTGACTGTATTTTGGAAAAGGGGCTTGTTTAATAGATGTTTCTTTTGAGATAAATGCCTATTAAGGTAGTGCATTTGTAATTTATAATACACCAAATAGGTAAAAATGTGTCCTTTTTAGAACTTCACAGTGCTTTTTATTGCACCTATGTAGCTGAAATGAATGCAGGTTAGCTAGTTGAAAGTGGAATTTGTTAAGTTTACAGATTCTTAAAAAATCTACTTGTACAATGTCTGTGATTACTTATTTGCACTGTCTGCATTTTCAAATCTTGTTTAAAGTTTAACAAATGTATAGTGTCATGGCATACAGAAGCTAAAAATCTGTTCGGGGCTTTCGAGTAGGAAAATGGGAAAATCCTTAAGTTAATAACGAAGGAAGACAACATGCTGTTGCTCTTGAAGAAATTTTTTCTAGTCAAACAGGAATTTGCACTACTAGACATCTATTACAGCTACACCCAAAACCCACATACAGACAAAATTAGAAGTGCACAGTTAACATCAAAGAAACAGGAAATGATACAGTAAAAGCCACCATGCAGTTTTCTTTCTTTTTTTTTTTCCTGTGGACATGTGCATTGAGATGTTGCCTTTCTTTTTTTAATATGAAAGGGTTTTGGTGTAATATATAGCCTTTTTTCTTA